CTACCCGTTGAGCCTAACGCTCCAGCCAGCTTTCTATCCACATTACAGCCCATTCATCCAACCCGTACTTCCTCAGCTTGCTTGCAAGAATGCTGTTGGAGACCATATCAAAAGCCTTTCTAAAGTCATGCTATATCACGTGCACTGCTTTCCCCACATCCACAGAGCCTGTTATCGCATCATTGAAGGCTATCAAGTCAGTCAGGCATGACTTGACCTTGGTGAATCCATCCTGGAGGTTCCTGATCACTTTCTTCGCCTCCAAGTGCTTAGAAATGGATTCTTTGAGGACGTGTTGCATCGTTTTTCCAGGGACTGAGATTAAACTGACTGGTCTGTAGTTCCCTGGATTCTCCTCCTTCCCTTTCTTCAAGATGGGCTCTATATTTGCTCTTTTCCAATCATCCAGAACCTCCCCCAATCCCCACAAGTTTTCAAAGATAATGGCCACCGGCTCTGCAATCATGGAATAACTGCCTCAGCACCCTCAGATGCACAGCATCTGGCCCTCTGGACTTGATCAATACGTTTTGTCAAAGTCTCTCCTTCTAGTAGGAGCTGGAGGTGCTGGGATTTCTTTTTTAGCTGAAATCCCAGGGGATATTATTGGACAATTATTCCATCATACAAAAATACTCAATAACTCTATTTGAAGCAGGTGAGGCCACACATGAAGATCAAGGTGTCTTTACTATGGTGCAGGAGCTTTCAACCTTTTTGGATCAGTGCACCCCTGGTGGCCAGATGTGGAGTGGGGGGGGGGGGGGGGGGGAGGGTGGCACGCAGCCGAACGTGGAGTAGCAGTAGTTGCTGCATGTGAGCTTCCCCCGCTCCCCGCATCCAGCTGGGTGGGTGGCACCTGTGTGGCAGTGCAGGATGGTGTGCAGCGATGCTCAGTCCCCAGCCACCTGCGTGTACCTCCTAGGGCCTTCTCAAGTACCCCCTGCTATGGTGTAAGCACTACGCTTCATCTCATCTGATCTATCTAGTGAAATTTGACAGCTTGCTCAGCAAGAGGCAGATATATGCACTAGGTCAGGCACTGACAATGTTTTTGGTTGGAGTGTCAAGAACACCCCAACCCTGACCCATGCCTTGACTTGGTATGCCAGGGCAGACTATGGGGGAGCTACCAGGAGCCCAATCCTTGTTGCTGATGGTGGAAGCACGCATGCCTCTGGGTGGCTGGTGGAGGAGAGGGAGGGGCCAGGGTTGCACTGTCCCTGTGCCCTGAGGCATGCATGCAGTTGCTGCCACCATGGAACTAGTGCTGGGGCTCCGGAGTCCAGTGTAGCTGGTTGAAGCCTGTCAGCCACCTTATGCAGCTGCCCAGAGCTCTGGAGCAAGACACTGGCTGTGGTGGCAGCAGCTACATATGTGCCTCCAGGCAGACAGCAGGGTGGGGGCTGGGGTTGCATTGCCCCAGACCCCTCCTCTGCCATTCACCCAGAGGCACGAATGCAGCCACTGACACAGAGCCCAGTGTAGCTATCTGCAGCCTCCTGGATGTAGCTGACCCAGACTCTGGGCAACTGCTGCCAACCACAGAGCCCAGGCTGCCTGCTAAGGAGAGCCTGGGCCAGCTACAGCCAATGAACTTTTTGTTACCATTCAGATAGTCAACACCTTGCAAAAGAAAGGTGAGGAAAAAGCTGACCACCTGATGTACCAGGAAGAAGCAGGAGTTGTTCCAGGTATTAAAAAGGACAACACTGAAGAAACCAGGATGGCTGGAAACAGATAACAATGCAAAATAATGACCAATAAGAGTCTCAAGCCAGCAAGGAGTATGAAGGATGGTAAAAAGAAATAAAGAGACACCCAGAGAGTATTCCAAAGTTGCTACAAAAGATCAGACTTTGGAAGCACCAAGTTGCCTAACTGCCAGGTCTCCCCAATACTACACTCTGGTAAGTAACCATTTGCCTATTGCATTCTTTAGTTGTTTTTTTTTCAAATGAAGAAAATAATATTTCCTCTCTCATAAGACATTAGGTAAAAAACTTTATTTTGAATTTCAAAGTCTTTGGTTAAAGGAATACTTCCCACAACCTATTTCCATAACTTTTAATTCATTCTCATGACATGGAAATAAACAGCTGGTTTTGGAGCTCTACCTCCAATTCAAAATTGTTCTTTATAATATAAACAAAGAGAAACCTTAGCCCCAATCAGGCAACCTGATCCTGACGCTCATGAATCATCATTCTCCATCTGACAGAAGTCCTCATAGACTCAAAGATGTGAGGGGGTTGTACTGTACAACTGAGGGCACTCTTCATTTAGCCTGTATTTCCAGGAGCTTTAGGAATTTCCACTTCCTTGGGCTTGGATTGTTTTTTTGACTTCTTATGAAGTCTTGCATTGAAAAGCTTGTGTTCTATCAAACACACCTCCTCATGGATAAGGGAAACATCTACCCTTAGAAGGAAGGAGAAGAGGTTTAGGATGAACTGGTAGCTCTTTGAAAAGTCTCCTTCTTTATAGTGTGCCAGATGCCCACATATCCTAAATAACAAAAAAGGAAGAAAGAAAACAGTATCATAAGTACAGCTTAAATTACAGGTTTGTCTTGTTGGAATATACTTAATAGAAATCATTTAAAAAAAAATTAAAGCAAAACACCAACATTTCATTAGTGCCATCAGAAGTATTATGTTCTCTGACTGCACACCTGAGAAAGAATCTCACTGGAGTAATCCTTCATAAGAAGGGGGTAGACCAAGACTAGGACAAGTTGCAGTCCTAGGTAGGGTGATGATTTGTATTATTGTAGTGTCTTAGAATTACAAGTCATGCAGCAGGAACCCACTGCAAAAACTGAACAAAAAATGTTCCCTGTTTTTGAGAACTTGCAATTTGAAGTATAATACAACAAATAACAGATAAACCTAGAAATACCAGGAATGAATGAGACAATATCACATAACGCGAAAAACAGCAGTTACCACACAGCAGCAACCTGTTAAGTTTTATGTAGGTATCACTGCAGAGGAGGAATATAAGAAGGATAATGATGGAGTTTTGTTGATATTGACTGATATCCCCCAAGCATGAGAGAAGACCACATGGAAGAAAGCATGAAGATACCTGTTTGAAAATCTAAACTGTGTGTGATGGAGGCCAATGTCTTGGGCTGAGTGAAAGATCACTGAGTATGGAGAGAGTGTAGAGGGTCTGGTAAGTAAAGAATGGTACCAGTGCGTACTCCACATGCCCCAAAGCAAGCACTCAATGGTGTTAAGTAAGGTTCAACCATTTAGGGTCAACCATAAAAAAAACATTTTTTTGTTTTGTTTTGGATTGATCCAAAATCAACATCTTGAATTTTGTGAACTGGAAAAAATACAGTTTGTAGGCCCTTTTTAATAAAGCAAAAGGTTAGATCTATGGTCCCCAGTCCCCAATCTTTACCAATTCAAGGGCAATAACACTGTGCAAGTCACATGCTGTGGTCCATATCATGCTTGCTCTCCTTGTCCAATTTCAATTTAAAAACTTTCTAATTTCCTATAGAAGCCATATTGGAGGGTCTCAAGCAAAATGTCAGTTGTTTGCTATGAGTTTGGGACCTATCCCATGAGCCACAAGGGGAGATAGGCACCATTCACAAAATGAGAGAAGGAGTAGGAGATGGTGAGTCCCATTATATTCTACAGCCTGGTGTCCAGGATGTTAACAATGAAGTCACTCCCCTCCAACCAAATGAACAAGGAAATATTTTATTAAAAAGCAGGACTGCTTGAAATAGAGAAACTGAAAGAGACCTAACTAAGCATACCTTACCTACAAGATCAGTGATTAGAACATTCTTCTAGGAGGCAAAATCTTTGCTCAAATCCCTACAATGAGTCATGCTGGAGAAGGAATCTGAATCTGTTCCCTAGCTCCAAGGGAAGATGCCTAACTTATGGGTTCTGGGGTCCAAGAAGGACCATAAGACTACCACCTTGTCCTCACTGTTTTTTTAAATGTGTTACCTCTTGTGAATCTACCAATTTTTTAGATTGTACATTTAAAGAATATCCAAAACTTCATTTGACATTTCCATACATTTTTCTTTACTTTTTTGGCCAAAAAAGAGTATTCACTGACTGTAACTCAGAAGTATGAAGAGTTTTACTCAACCTGAAACTGATTTTTCTGACAATACACTTCTGGCTAAGAAAAGATCTGCCCAGACTAACTCATAACTAAACCTCATATCTTCCACAATTCTGCAGCTGCAGACTGTGAGACAATCTGGCTGTCAAATCTGATGTTTCAATTCTAAAAAAACCTTTAATTTTTGCACTTAAGGGGGAAGAAAAAATTTAAAAGCTGAATAGAATGGAGAAAATAGAGGTATTTTTCATAATCTGCAGACAGCTCGAAAGGGGTGTGATCTGCAGTTATTCATCATGTCTGTTTTAATTCTGAGCCTATCAGCAACAACTACATGGCAACATAATACATTGCCATATATATTTAGCAGAAACATTCAATTAATGCAATTCTTGTTAGTGGTGGATATATGGAGGCGAGTGGGAAGCCACATGTTGCTAGGTTAGATGTTCCAGTTTCAAAAAAAAAAAAAAAAAGTCCTCTCTACTCTACCGTCCTTAGGCTACTACTTTACACTATAAATTTGAATAACATTTTCTTTGTCGAGTCAATTTTTACAATAACTTGTTACTATATAGATGACAAATCTGCACGTATTTAAGTACTAATACTTTAAAACAGGATTAGATAACATAGTGGTACACTATCTTTTATAACTCATATTTCATAAATGAAAATATCTGTAAGAGATATGCAAAATATTAAGGGTTAGATAAGACTGCAGTGATAATTAAATTAAATATGTGCACAAGAAAACAGGAGGGTGAAGCATTATGTTTACACACATCAAAAGAGCCCAAAGGAAGACTCTTCAGGTACATTTAAAAAAAGCAGGGAAAAATGCGCTTTACCAGCAAAAGCAGTGCATTAGTTCAACCTGGCTCTGCAGCATCTGTACAGATCAGGTTCTTCAGCGGCATTTTTGGTGATTTTCTCTAACGCTGAGTCAATTGGCTTTTAGATAAAAGTGCCAAAAAAGCTCCACTAAAGCACCTGATCTATACAGATGTCGGGCGAGCTGGGTCCAACTAATGTGATGCCTCTTCTGGGCATGTGCTGGGCTCAGCACGGGAGCACAAGGAGTTTAAAGTGACATTTTTGTGGGGTTTTTGACATCTGTAAGCAGCCTATATGTTTTGCTCTTGCAAGCACAATCCAGTCCTTTTGAAGAGTCCTGTTCTCAAAATGTGCTGGGAAAATATCAAAATACAGTATTTTACTGTAATTTAGTTTCAGACTGAAACAAAGTTAAATTGAAGCTACAAAAGCACTTATTTAATATGAACTGGAGTTAGAGCTTTCATAAAGATGTAAAAAAGTGTGCTTAATGGCTATGAGAGTCGCTTATTTTCACATATGTTAGTGTGAAAAACCTCTCCATTTAAGGTTTATATTTAGGCATATACTTTCATATGCAGCAGGCTAATCTAATGTAAAATACAATCATCTAATGTGTTTAAGATGTATTCACATTGGAATGAACTGGATTCTCCTCTTTGTACAAATCCAGTCATACAAAGGAAAGTACTTATACACAATAAAAGCTCTTGTAATATAATACTATGTTTACAGTATTCCAACCTATTCCAGTTACAGAGAATTTGCAAAAAAGCAGCATGAAAAGATATACAAATACGCAAGACAGCAAAGTCTGTACACACTTTAGACTAATTTTCAGTTAGAATACTAAATTCAATTGATTTTACAAAACAAAGGATAATTAGTGTAAGGCTATTAATACTATATTAATAGTAATCATACTATTAGTGTGATAGCATTAAAAAAATTAAAAGTTTACTTCAGTATAAACGTATATAGGCATGAAGTAGAAGTCAGTTTAATTCAGCTATATCTCAACTCTACTTCCAACTAATAACACAGGAGAAGCCCAGAACTGTGATTTCAAACCAGTCTTTAATGTCTGTTTTCCTTTTCTACTGTCACCCAAATTCACTGGCCAAATACAAATGTGGCTTGCTTTTCACAGTATATAACTCTGGGATAGAACAGTAAGCTGACTTACATCCACCAAGTCACTCACCCTATTTACAGAATGAAGAGTTTCACAGTAAGAGAGAAACATGACTTCAGATGTAAGTTCCAGTTCCTATCCCAAGGTGCAAATACTACTGAATTCTTATATTCTATTGTTAGGTCTTCTGTACTTTGAGAAATGTAGCTATCCAGCATTCAAATATATTGGCAGGTTTTACCAGGATAGAGTCCTACACCTATACAGAGTCCCAACTAACTTCAGTAAGATGCACAGGCGATCTCTAAGCAAGAGTGAAACTACTCGCAGTCACAGAACTATGACATGATTGGAATGACAGAGACTTGGTGGAAGCTTGCATGCCTGGAGCACTGTCATGGATGGGTACAAACTGTTCAGGAAGGACAGGCAGGGGAGAAGAGGAGGAGGAGTTGCACTGTATGTAAAAGAGCTGTATGATTGTTTAGAGCTTGAGTGTGAAACTGGAGCTAGGACTGTTGAAAGTCTCTGGATTAAGGCTAGAGGGGAGAGCAACAAGGGGGATGTCATGGTTGGTGTCTGCTATAGACCACCCAACCAGGAGGATGAGGTAGATGAGGCTTTCTTCAGACAACTAGCAGAAGTTTCCTGACCACAGCCCCTGGTTCTCATAGGGGACTTCAATCACCCTAACATCTGCTGGGATGGCAACTTGGGCAGCAGTGACCACAAAATGATCAAGTTCAGGATCCTGACAAAAGGAAGAAAAGAGAGCAGCAGAGTATGGACCCTGGACTTCAGAAAAGCAAACTTTGACTCACTCAGGGAACTGATGGGCAGGATCCCCTGGAAGGCCAGTCTGAGGGAGAAAGGAGTCCAGGAGAACTGGTTGTATTTTTAAAGAAACTTTATGAAGGGCACAGGAACAAACCATCCTGCACTAAGGACAGAACAATCCCATGCACCAATACAGGCTTGGAACCAATTGGCTAAGCAGCAGCTCTGCAGAAAAGGATCTGGGGGTTACAATGTACAATAAGCTGGATATGAGGCAACAGTGTGCTCTTGATCCCAAGAAAACTAACAGCATACTGAGTTGCATTAGTAGGCGCATTGCCAGCACATCAAGGGAAGTGGTTATTCTGCTCTATTCAGCAATGGTGAGCCCAAATCTGGAGTACCGTGTCCAGTTTTGGTCCCCCACTATAGAAAGGATGTGGATAAGTTAGAGAGAATCCAGCAGAGGTCAACGAAAATGGTTAGGGGGTGGGGGGCATGACTTCTAAGGAGAGGCAGAGAAAACTGGGCTTATTTAGTCTGCAGAAGAGAAGAGTGAGGGGGAATTTAATAGCAGCCTTCAACTTTCTGAAGGGTGGTTCCAAAGAAGGAGCTAGACCGTTCTCAGTGGTGACAAATGACAGAACAGAAGCAATGGTCTCAAGTTGCAGAAAGGGAGGTTTAGGGTGGATATTAGGAAGAACTTGCTCACTAGGAAGGTGGTGAAGCACTGGAACAGGTTACCTAGAGAAGTGGTGGAATCTCCATCCTTGGAGGTTTTTAGGCCTGGCTGGACAAAGATTTGGTTGGGATGATATAGTTGGGGATGGTCCTGCTTTGAGCAGGGGTTTGGACTAGATGACCTTCTGAAGTCCCTTCCAACTGTAATTTTCTATGGTTCTACTGAAACATATTAGCAGCAAAATGTAGGCAGACACCAAAATCGTTCATAAACAGCTTTGCCAAGTTATCTTACACACAAACTATAATTTCCTTTACTATTTAAAGTACTTCATTCTTGAAAGAAATAATTATCTCAACAAGTTGTGTGGTTGTTTTGGATTATATTCCAATGGAAAGTAAGATGTCAAATTCAATTTCACTTGTGACCAAAATCAGGATTTGGGAACAATTCTTCAGTAAAGACAGACATTAAATGAGCGTTTCCTTTTTCTAGTCTTTTCAATCACTGTTGCAAGAGATATTCTGACTAATATGCTTTAGATAAAATGGCCATTTTTATTTGTTAAATCAATCTCTCCCCCAGTCCACACAGTTTTTCTGAAATACCTGTAGGAAATATTCATTGCTTATAAAGCTGAATGCAAGATCGTAAAATTGACATGATTGTTTGATTAAGGTCAGGACAACTGAAACTCACTGCATTAGGGATACAGTGTGTTCTAAATTAAACATTTTTTCCAAACATTTTGGTAACTCCTTCTATTCTCTTGGGAATGACTGTATGACGGCTTAATCTGTGACATTAAGGAAAAGAGGGCATATTTCTCCTTAACCTTTTCTTTTACCATGCAGTTCAGGATGATGATTTAGTTCCATCAGCTTTTTTAACCTTTTGGGAAACTCAATCATTTTGTATCCTATGATAGATCTCTTTAAACCCCATGACCAATCTTCACACACACAAGCACAGAGAACATAACACATAATTATATCACTGGCTAATGCACAGCTGTGTGCCTATCTTATGCCTTACATATTTCATTTTATAGAAATAAAATACCATATATATATGTGGGCTTAGTTTGTCTGTCAGTCTGTAATTTGGAGCACTCTGATTGGCTGTCTCGGCAGCCAATCACAATGCTTACTGAAACAACCAGAGTGCTCCACCCAGATGATCAGATGTGGAGGGGGGAGGGGTGGTAGAGTGCAGCTGGATGCAGAGTACTGGGATGGGGGAAGATGCAAGGGGGCATGGCATGCAGCTAGATGCAGAGCAGCAGCAGCACGGGCTGGTAGTGGCTGCATGCAAGCCCCCACCCCCGGGGAGGCGGCAGCAGCGCAGGGTGGTAGAGTGTGGTGCTCCATTCCCTCCTGCCCCATCATTCTCAATGGGGGG